TTAATACATATGTAATGTTTAAACTAGTACATATATGTGTATTTAAATAATCTGAAATATAAAGGGAGTGCATTAGAATATTAAAATAATTGTTAAATAATCGATAGAAGTTTCTATTATTGTTTAAAAACGAATATATACGAATACACTTATGTTCGGAGCACTGAACATACCCCCCATCGAAATTTCCCCCTCCGAAGTCATCACTGCACAGGAACGTAAAAACCAATGTACATTAGTTTAAACAATTACAAAAAAAATAAAAAAATACTAAAATGAGAACGTTATAATCTAAAATTTTATTGATTTATTAATTATTCCCTTTATACACATGTGCAACGTTCGGGAAGTCATATAAACAACTTTCAATAAAAGTAATTATCATAGAAGAGAAAGTGCCAGTCTCAAGGTGGATCTCGAAGAGGACGGAGCTCCAAACATATATTCCGAGCTTTTTAACAATAATTACACTCCTATCGATTATATAACTATTTTTTTAATTCTTTAATGCACTCTTTTTATATTTCAGCTTGTTTTAACACATATGTACTGGTTGAAATATTACATTACCTAATAACGTATTTTAAATAGAAAATAATTTTGATACATTTTTCTTTTATTTTTTTAGATGAATTTTTTAAATTTGATTTCGTTACTGAGCCAATATATATACATAAAATTTTCCGATAACATACATTGTTTTAAGTCAGTTTTTTGTTAGACTTTGACACGTAAACGTATTATGTAACGTATTATCGTAAATTAAAATGCATCTTTCGTTGGACTTTAGAAAATTTGAATAAAAAATCATCGAGTGAGAAAGATACAAAATTGAAAAGAAAAGGGGTGAGGGTGTGGCGGTTGAAAAGTAGGGATGAATTTTTGAACCTGTTTAGCAAAAGATAAAATTAAAAAGAAACTATTCTATTTTTTGACAACGTTTAATAAGAACTTCATTAATTGAAACCTTCGAGAAGAATATAAACTTTTTGTTTTGTTTGCAATTAAAAAGATAAAACTTACTTTTCTGACGAACGGTAATATCAAATCCTACCTCATTGATGATCAATAATAGTAGTTTCCTACTTATCAACGACAGATGAAAAATATTCCTAGTTTAGTAACTAAAATTCCTTTTCTTTTTAATAACTAGGTAATAGTGGAACTCAATCTTATCGGCTTTAGTAACTAGAATTAAAAAAAAAAAAATAGAGAACAAATTAAATGAAAAACGTATTGATGTATACAAAAATCAAGTAGTTTCTTATTAAACTTCAATTTTAAACGAAAAACATCGTAAAATGTCTAAGTATCCTATTTATTAGGATTGTTTCTCTTGCTCTCTATGTCTTGTTATAAATATATACTTTATTTATTTAATAAAAATGCAAAATCTACTTAATATTTTAATTAATTTTCTTTTGCACTGTGTTACTATCGTTATCCGGTGATGATTATCACCGAAAGGCGGAAATGAGATCACTGATGTAAAAATAAGGGATTCGGTTTTATCGATTGGATAAAGAAAACGTAAAGTTAGATGAAAAAGGAGAACCACAGCAGGTCAAGCACGCGCAAGGCATTGAGTTTTCACGCGTAGGGAGTACTCACCCTTTTCTCTTTACGCACTACTCACCTTTTTGGCCGCTGACATACGTACGATCCATATTACTGATTCTCTTATTCTTATTTTTAAACATTTAACATATGCATTTTATTATGAACGTAAAACAGTTTTTAATACATCGTATACCCCCACATTTGATTTTTATTTTAATCTATAAACAATTTTATGACTCGTCTTTGACATTTTGTTTTTTATTAACTTAGCAAGAGAATTTTTACATTTTTACATATTAAAACTCATTAGACCTAAATAAATATACTCACTGATGATCATTAACGAACGTTGCAATTAAATAAACACACGTTTAGAGTAGACACAAAAAAAATGATTTATTTGATCTAATTGAAAAATATTTCAAATCATCAGTATTACCAATGAATGATATATATATATATATATAAAATCAGTCTTGCGGGTAATTCAATACCGATCAAAGCGGATTCGAGTTCCGATTCCCTCTATTCATGGCAAAAATTAAATAAATAAAGGAAAGGAAAAAGAAAAAAAAAGGAAAAATACTTAAGTAAAGTTCGCAAAAGGAACTCGATCGAAAGCAACGTTTTACTAGCGATTTTCACGGTTTCTCCCCTTGGCAACGACGGACCAACACGCGTGCACTTTACTAAGTACAGAGAGAAAGTGAGAGAGAAAGAGCGAGAGTAGTATTAAGAGAAAGAGGCGTAGGCAATTTCTACCCCTGTGTAGAGAGAACATAGAAAGGAAAAAAGCTAGGAGAAGCTCGCGTGCTCTGGAAAGCCCAGCTCCGTTGCAGGAGGAAAAATTGAAAGGCCTCCTCCGGTGTATCCTCTTTCTCTCTTTCCTCTCGTTCCTTCTTTCTCTCTCTCTTCCTCTCTCTCTCTCTCTCTCTCTCTCTCTCTCACCCTCTCTTTCTCTTTCTCTTTCGTAACGCACGTATCAACACACAACATATACGCGCAATATAAGTGCGTGCTATAGATTTCGTTCCACTCCGTAGAATATGTACTCGTACGATACGTACGTGTCGTATTCACTCGAGACCACCTCTTTCCCTCCAACCCACCCTTGAAATTCACCCCACCTACCCTGACAACTTCTTCTGCATCCTCCTCTCTCGCCCTTCTCCACCTGCGAGGAGCAAAAAGGGGTGGATTTCCTAGACACGTACGGTACGCACCTCTACACGTGCGATATGTGCACTTATGCTTTCTCTCTCTTTCTATCTTCCACCCTTCCAGTAGCAACCAACTCGCCCATTCCACCCTCTACTATAACTCTCTCTCTCTCTCTCTCTCTCTCTCTCTCTCTCTCTCTCTCTTATTCTCTATACTCTATCTATCTTTCTTTCTCTTTCTAAAAACCAGCGCATAATCCAACAGCGCGTACACGCGCGTGTAAGTTCATAGGTGTATGGTACCGAGGCTACTTGAAGGGTTTCCATTTACATATATGCGTGCACGCACCCCGAGTAAGGAGCATACGTACGTTTCCAGGGTGGAGATGAAAAGAGAGAAAAAGAGAGAGAGAGAGAGAGGGTGTGTGTAGGAAGTCAAGTCCTCGGGACTCTCCATGTGTATGTATATTTTTGTTCGCTCTCGTAGTAATAGGCCAAGCGTGTACCTGCGCACGCAATTATCCTGCGAA